GAGATGCACGGAGTCGTCCGTGCGTGACGAGAGACCAGCTGACAAACAATTAGGTTAAGTAGAGCAGAAAATTGCCATGATGTCGACATATACCAGGTAAATTTTGCTCTTGGGACTGTGAATATACGTCGAGATAAGCGGGGTAGTCGACATTACCGAGGTCGTCATATCAGAGTTTTTGCAGATCATTTATATAGTAAATAATGCCGAGACCGCAGACAGACGTCGACATATCCCAGGTTGTCAACATATCCAATGTCGAGATACCGAAGTTTACCTGTATGTGAAATTTACAGCAACCAATGTCTGTTTTATAGACATGTGAACAGATGGATTTCAAAAAACAATAAAGTGCCTGGCCACAGCATGATACGCCCGTCAAAAAATTACAATTATCTTCAACAGTTCAGAGTGCAAGAAAATCATGTAAAGATTTCCATGATTTTTCCATTCCTTAAAATATTTGTTTATCCATCCCCTGTGGTGTAGGCATTAATTACAACAAATATTAAATCATCGTTAGCTTTCTATACTGGTTGTGTTAGACCTTGTCAAATGTCCATCATATTAAACAATATCACATTACTCTTAACAACTTAATCTTTACCAAATTAATTTTGAAATAAAAGGCTAGCAATCAAATGACATATGCTATAAACTGACCAACAATTCCTCTATCTCATTCCCAAAGGATACAGATAAGACTGCTTGATCAGAGATGCTCTAAAGAAATGATTGAGACAGTTAGCCTTCCTACATTGAACTCATTAAACTGTGACTGGAGATGAATGGGTCTGCATCAAATTCATTTTAAAACTTATGCTAGCTAACAAGAGTTATTCCTAACCCAACAGGCTGACCCATCTGCCCAATTCCAAACGGATGTAGGTAAGACCTGCTTGATCAAAGATGCTCTACCAGTTAGCTCCTCACACTAAACTCATTAATTTCTCTCTTATTTGACATGCAATTTTCTGTTATCAGAACTCTTCTTGACCAGTACTTGATAATTACACTCATGGGAAAGGTGGAATTTCTCTAACATTCATTATATTTGTTATAGATTGCTGTCAAGTATATGCTGAAAAAAATATTTTCTTGATTTACCTCTTTTTTAATAAGGATAGTGCAATACTCTTACATTTTTGGGGATGTGTAAATGAATAGTAAAAAGACAATTTTTTTTTTATTTCACTTCAATTAAAGGTCACAATGACCTTGAAATAGGTCCCAACACACCTCCTACCTAAGACATGTAAGATGCATAAACTGGCCAAGTTTGATGATTCTAAGTCTACTAGTTTTCTAGTTATGGGCCGGAAAAGATTTATCCATATTTGGCTATAACATTTTGAATAAAGGTCAGAGTGACCCACTTTTTGTGTGTGACACACCTTTTACCCAAGATGTATCAGCTGACAAAGTTTCATAACTTTAGGCCAAATAGTATTAAAGTTATGAGCTGGACACGAGAAAAGCTAACAGATAGACAGACGGACAGACAGACAAATGGACAAGAAGCCTATAACATAATACGTCCTATCTTAAGACGAGCCTATAAAAATCATATAATGGGCATCAAAAATGGGTACAGCCCTTGGCAACAGGGACTTACAACAACCACTGTATATTTGTGAAAATTAATTCAACAAATTATCACTGATTACCGGTATATTTTATTGACTTTAAGACACCTAGCAAAATTGATAGAAATCATTTTGGGGGTAGTTTACACTGCTTTAAAGAAACATTTGATAGTAGAAAAGTTTAATACTCAAAGGTCACCCTATATTTTGAACAAGTTTATCTTTTAAAAAGATAGGTAAGCTTATTTATCGCCATAGCAATTTTTAAACACAGAAAGGAGGATCCGTGATCAAGTGATTTATTTTGCTGAATTCTTTAATTTTTATCGAGGCTGGGGAGTGATAAAGTTATAATTGTTTTGTGAAGTGTATTTAATAGACATATAGGTAAAGAAACGAAGGGAGGGATTTTGTGTTGACCTACTGGAGTTTTCGCGCAATGGAACATACATGACCTTTACTGGAGAGGGGGGAGACTCCATATAATATGGAGAAGATGCCGATTGAGGCACTGTATGAGCTGTTTTAAAAATGGAATTTCTTGGCAATGTAGCAAAGAAAATAAAGGGGAGATATAAGGAATATAGAAAATAACTCAAAGTGTATGTTGTATAAAAAATCCAGAAAGATGTGAAGTGCCCCTGCGAGGTGAAATTCATAATTTCAGGAACTTTTATGAATTGTTCATGAACATTCATGATGTGTTCATGAATGGTTCATGACTGGTTCATAAAGATGGTTCATGAACTTTATTCATGAATATATTCATAAAATGTAGTTCATGAACAAATGATGAATATATACGAATAATGGTAATTTTCATTTTAAAGACAGAAAAAATGTAGAGTTCAAGGTATTATGAATGTTCATGAATTTTCATGAAGACTAAAATAATTGACAAAAATGATTGACAGAAAACACTCATTACTCTCATAATACAACTTTTGCATGCAGATGCAATTGTTGAACAAGCCCCTAGTATAATTTATATTTGATAACATTCTTTCACCAACTATCTGAAAAAATAAATCATGAAATCTCTAAACATTTCATGTTTTTATTTGATTTTAATTAAACAAACACTGCATCACCATTGTCAGCATTTTTTTTTTTCAAATTGATTACTTATGTTTCTTCATAATTTAAATTAAACAGTTATATTCATCATAATGTGCTTTAAATAATGTTGTTTTTCATCACACAACTTTGTTTGATCGAATTTTCATTAACATCAAACTTTAAACAAGTTGTTGGAAGATGAAACATTCTGGAAAAAGAACTTTGTGAGCTTCGTAAAAAACGTTTTATATATTTATTAACAACTAAAAAATTATATCGCTTGTCTGTACTGTACCGCATTATTCCTGGATCAAAACACTATATACATTTCAATTTTGGTGCAGTTAGAATGTCAAAAGTTTCCCTTGCTTCGTGTGTAAATAATAGAGCACAGACCGCATGGTTGTAAAGTATCTATGACATAATCCACATTCGTATTTTGTAGTTTTAATTCTCCTATGTGTCTTCACAGCTCAGAATATTCAGTCTAAGGGCGAGAGATTGTTATTATCATGTCATATGTCCTCTGTCAATGGGGGCCCCCTAATGTAGATTTTCCGCAAGATCCGTGGAATTCCATAACAAATTCCATGGAATTCCACGTAAATTTTGTTCAGCAGAATTACACGGAATTCTTGAGAGTATTGGGATGGAACTTTTTCCGGGATGGTATGGAATTTTAAATCTAGCCTGGAAAAGAGCGGAATAATGCCAGAATAGAAATTTGCGGAGGAAATCCGTGGAATTCCAGATTATTTGTAAAGAACTACAGTTAATTCTCGATAAACCGCCACCTTTTGTAATTTAGAAATCATGGCGGTATAACGAATTTGGCGATGAATTGAATTTCCCATTTTTAGGAAACAAGAAGTAGAGTTACCGTTCTTAGAAATACCATTTAGCGTTTCTATTCTTATTATTACATGAACATGTATATAAAATTATATTTCTAAATTTAAAAATACTTCAAGTAATTTTTTTATGTATAATTTCGCTAAAACAAAATGTGCAGTTATGAAATAAAGACAAGTACATGTGTATCATATGCTTGTAAATCTGCACGTCTGTGAACAAAAAATGCTGGGTCGATCGTCGTGATATATTGCAGATAGTACGTAAAATGAATTCTTCAATAAATTCACTGTTTATGGCATCATCGATAATGAAACGTTCACAAGTTATACCGTATAATTATTTTTTTTAGCAAACTTAGCATCGTTTAAGGCAGAGATCATCAAAATAATATCGTTTTCGGCTTACTTTAACAACTACCGCTTTCGTGGCGAAGCCGTGACTAAATGATTTTTAATAAACAGAAATCAAAATTATTATAACAGTTCATGTTAAAATTATTGTTTATTAATTCTTGTTTAATTACTTAATTGCATGTACCTTGTCTGCCTTTACATGCTTTACAACAGGGGTAGCATCACAACCAATTAGCCGCGCTTCACTGACCACACGCACCTGTGGCGGTATTATCGAGATAACTGACACTTAAAAATGGACGTTTGTTATGAAAACAGGGTGGCGGATGGCGGTATGCGAATTTGGCGTTATAAAGAGAATTTTATATAGCAGGAAAAATGTTCTGGGGAAATCATGGCGGTATTGCGAAAATGGCGATGAATCGAATGGCGATAATTCGAGAATTGACTGTATATGCGGTATATTGCATATGTTTGCCCCCACAAAAGTCAAATTTTGAAAACTACCTGAAATGTGCTGAATTCAATAAATTGTACGAGAAATATAAATTAACAGAAAATATTATAGTTCCAGAGCAGTGTATTCACAATTTTTGTTTATGACGTCACAAACTAGTCTGATTTTATATCCTTTTTCAGAAAGAGGACAAAATGGACAAAATTTCAACAATTTTAGCTTTAAAAGTTATAGAGCGCATGTGTGTTCAGGAACAATATTGACATATTTCATTGATATTATCATTCTACACATTATATCAAAATATTTATCCTGAACACGCATGCGCTCGGTGACTTTTATTTAAAATATCGACGAAATATGTACATTTTTCTGTAAAATTCATGAAAAACCGAAATTTACGTCATATTTGTGACGTCATTACTTATGAAATTATTCAGTGCTTTGAAGTCAGCATATACTCCCCTGTTTAAGGACTTAATTAAATATTACTCCATCAAAGTTTGATTTGGGGGGCAAATATTGGTTAATACCGCATAAAGTTCTTTAAGGAATTCCATGGAAATCTGTGGAATTCCAGGAAAATACAATAAAAACTGTATTAGTACCAAATAATTACAAAAAAACTTGATAACATCACAATGTTTCATAGATCAAATCTTCTATATTTGCAAAATGAAAAATTCACAGTTTCTTTTACAATGTTTTTTGAGACAAATATAATAGCATATACCACTCAGATGTACATTATAAGCACACTTTTTTTAATGTATGTATTCTCAATGAAACTTCAAAGTATTTTACATCAAAGGTTATTCACAGAAATATCCAAGAAAAAATATGATTACTGGGGGATCACCTTGGTTAAATTAATTATAATGAAGTTATGATATACATGTATGTAGTAAACTAAAGTCTGCATTTTTTTTAAATAAGAGGTTAGATTCATTAAATGACATTGGCCAAGGATTGGGAGAGGTCATTGGAAACCTCAACAGGATATACATTCACAGTAAACTGCCAGAGGCCCATGTAAATTTACTGTACAAAGTTAGTGATTAGAGTGACAAACACACATATTAAATGCAAAAATATATGTACTACACAACTACATTGATACAAAGATCCCATAAAATTAACAGTTGCTATTTTCCACCAATGTACGTGTCAAAGATCCCAATTGTGGAAGATACAAAACTTCTGACATGTTGCTAGAATCACATCCTCACAGATATCCCATGAAATTTGCAATAGAGGGTTGACAGATAATTGGCGTCACCAACGGATTCACTTTTAGTACGAAGGCTCAGCAAGTTCGATGTTAATCATTCCAACAGACACTTCAAACTTTCCTTGCACAATTTCTGAAAGAGGAGATGACCATTTAAGATGTATCATTATTGATATCCGTATAAATATATGACAAATAATAAACTAAAGCTCTACAAAACAATTGGTTTTTTCTACCTGGCAGATAAGTTTACTGTAGAATATGAATTCACTATCTTGCAATTTTTTGTTCCAATTAGGATTAATTCTGATAAATGTAAAAATGTGAAAAGTTTATAGACAACAGACAAACACCAGACTGTGACACTGATCAAAAAACTCACTTAGGCCTTAAAATGGCTCAGGTGAGCTTAAATGAAAAGGCTAAAGCTGAAGCTCAATGCCTGACTGACGTTGAAAAAAATTAATTTCAATTCATGTGATTTTATTGATTAAGAAAATAATGAAGAAATCTTACCATTTTTTTTAATACAGTTCTTGTCCTAAATCTTGTGAGCATCCGGATTCCTGTAAAATGCATGTATACTTCATAGAAGATGATATCTTTGATTATATTTGATCTAAAATAATTATACATACCCATGCAGTTAGCATGTTTAGATTACCTTTCAGAATTCATTGTTATAAATAATAAGGATATGGAAATTAGGCATGTTAAGAATATATTATATCTTTAAATGTCGTTTACTTGGCATAGTTGCAATATTTTTTTTAATCTTATGCTTAAAGACATGGATTAATAAAATCAAAGTTAGTTTATTTGTTTTGAATGATAATTTGAGCTGGTTCTCACCATATTCACAAGCCTATAGTGACTGATTGGTTAAGCATCTACATGTATATACACTTTTATCAAATGCCAGGGCTGTGAAAATCATCTCAGGCAATGCAGCAACTATTAAAACAATCGAAACATGCAAGATAAGAGCTGAAAATGGTCATGAACATGCTTTACAAAATATATAATTAATTACATGTACATCATACTCTGTAAATGTTATCTTGAACAAAGGAAGGTACAAGTAAGATTCTTTACATCAGTTCGATTCCAAGCAAGGAAATTCGGATTAAAATCAATGATCTTAATGATATGTATAGATTTGTTAAATAATTATTACAGAAATAGTGCTTGTCCTAACGATTTCACCGTCGGGCATTTTATGTATGGTGCCTGGATAAATCAAAAGTAGCAGAAACATTCTTCGTTCGAGGACACATAAAATACTGTACAATATTGTACCTACCGGTCTTAAAAATGTCGTCATCTTTTTCCATCCCAAGCTGACCATGATCCCCCTGTTCGTGGCACTCCTTCCAACTTTCCTTCTGTGGAACATCAACATGGCATTCGATAGTTTTGAATTTCGCTGTTGTTAAAATTAATTGTTCATCGAGCCCGACTTCGATCCCGATGTTAGTGTATTAGTCGACAGTAAAAAAAAAAAGTAATTTTCGGACCCACAGTTTTCCAGCGCAGAAAATGGCTAAGTTTCTCATTTTACAATTTTTTCCAAAGAATTCCACTACTTTCCAAGCCAAAAAATGTCTAAGTCCAATTTTTTTTTGAATCCAACCATATAACATACATTAATTATAGACTGAGACTCGAAACATTCATAGGCCTGATTGATCTACAAAATGGCGGTCCAAGAAAATAGGCTTAAATTCCACTCAGAATGTTTTAATTTGGAAGGGCCTCTGATGCAAAATTAAATGAAACTAAAATGCAAGAAAATACAAAAAAGTCTTATGTTTTACAATCATGGGTAATTTCAGAAAATCTTTCTTTTTGAAGGAAAAAGAGAAGCAGTTCACAAATGTTGATGAGCAGAAGACAAGAAACTTTGGCAGCAAAAAAAATCTGAGCTCTTGCAAAAGAAAGAAAAAATAATTGAAATTATGAATGATATTCAATCAAAGGATCCAAATGAAGAAATTCTGGAAATTCCACATGGAGAGACAATAAGGATTTTTTAATTGACCATCTCTGCTCGAACTGCTTGAAAGCAGTTAAAACTGTTACCCTGGTGGTGAACAAACTTTTCTCCTAGACTGGAATTAAAAACTGTTCAATTTCTGGCATTAAAACACACTTTGAAACATGCTGAGGAAGGACCCCCCTCTCCTCTTGACCAAGTAAGGTTAAACATTCCGCAAAGAGTTGCGTTTGAATTGAAATTTTTTATACTTTCACCAGGAATGAACTACACATTACTCATTTACTATGGTTTAATATGTCAGAACTGTCTATTTTAAGTTTTTTAACAAAGATTTTGTTGCCATGGTTGGAAAACAAACAACATTTCTGTGAAATCTTTCAAGATGCTGTATTATAAAACATCTACTGTTACTTTTTTAGAATGACTTCATGCATTTTCATGTATAAACATGAATAATAATATTACATTTTTTGTTTACAAATAAGCAAGAATATTCATGAATGCTAATGGTTCATGAATTTTATTCATTCATGAACATTCCTGAAAAAATTCATCAAATTATTCATGAACAGCTAGTTCATGAAGATCCAATGAACTCATTATTGGACATTCTTGAAATGATGAATCTTCATGAATATGACTCTTCATGAATTATTCATGAAAAAAAAATATTCATGAATATTCATCAATTTTCTTTCATGAATAAAAATTCTTGATTTGAAAATGTCCAATAAAAAGTTCATAGGATCTTCCTGAACATTTCATGAATAAAATTCATGAAAAATTCAAGGAAATTCATGAATTATTCATAATCGTCTCGCAGGGGTAAGTAGCTTGGTCATTTGGGTCATCTTTGTCAAAAAATGTTATGGTAAAAATTAAGCCATACACATCTGATTCAGATCTTACAAATAATGGATTTATTCGTTATTTTAAGTGTAAATTCTTGTTTCTGGAATTTGTAAGATTGGCTGAATTGACCAATCAGAAATTAGAGTCAATCTTTGGTTGTGCTTTGACGTAAAGAAAAACCTCCATTGTCTTTGTTTTGAACAATCAGAAAATTTTAAGTATTACAAATCTGTAGTTAAAGTGTAAGCTACAGAATAAAAAGAAACATAGTTATTTAATGCTACAACATGATACAATGAAATTGTTATCGTAAGGTCTATCTATAGTAGTTTTCACAGTTATCCAGAATCAGAGTTGCCAACACTCTGAAATAAAAAATAATAAGGCGTGGTTCGGGTACCGTCTAGGCCCCCTTCCACTGAAGATATTTTGTAAATGGACATGCAATCGAGCCATTTGAGACACGTTTTGATTTTGTTTACTTTAAAACATTGACATGAATGCGATCAGCCATCTGAAACAGAAACGACGACATAAGCAAACGTTGTAAGGATTATGAATATTTAATTATAATAGTAGAAATTGTAGACTGCCAGTTATGAAAATTCCGAAATTATGAACTTTGATCGAGAAAAAACGAAATCGGAAAAATATAGAGAGAAATCGTAAAGCTTACTTTGGATGCTAATTTCGTAAGACTTACGCCAAAATTGTAAGAGTTGGCAGCTCTGCAGAATGCACGACCATAAAGCCGAGTATGCGTATTCAAGGAATTTGGACTAATGATGTTCAAAAATGAAAAAATTTGGACTAATGATGTTAAAAAAAGAGTGAAAACGACAGCGTGTAGGAATATCTAATAAATTATTTTTAAAAAATCAAAAATTGTACTTAATATCCACTTTTGTCTGAAATTCAAACAGATAATGAAACTTGAATCCTTTTTGCTTTAAACCCTCAAAACAAATTTACAATAAGTTGCAACTGACAAAACTGCAAAGGCCTAAAAAGAGCAAAGAATTGCAAGAGCACAAAAATAGTTTTATATGCTATTTTCTTAAATATTAGCAGTCTTATTGTTCAAATTCATATTCGGGGATGAAGTTCAACTTCTGGAAGAGTCTAGAAAACACAAATTATTTCACTACATTGAATTTCTTGAAGACACCAGTGTCCAAACCCACAGGCCATGAAGAGTAAAGGAGTTTTGGGGATAAACAGAAAGTTAATGTTTTGTCACACCAACAAAATTTGCCAGATCTTTCAGCCTTTGACTTGTTTCATTTCCCAAACTTAGAAAAACATCTATCAGAAAGAAAAAAAAAACAACTACAGCAAATCATAGGATCTGCCATATTCTAGTATAAGAGGGGTCATACTCAAAAATGTGTTCTAAAACAATTAGAAATTGAATAAAAATGTTACGGACATGTGTTTTGATTAAAAGAGAATATTTTATTTAAATGAATAAGACTAAATAATAAAAAAGCGTTTTTTTTGTTTCTTTCTGAGCCTCAGTGGCATTATTTATTGAATGCCCCTCGTATGTATCTTAGTAAAGTTTACTTGTGTGCAAAGTTATATAGAAATCCGACCAAAACTGTAAGAGGAGTAGCATTTTGAAAAATTGTTTACAGACAGACTGACAGCTAGACAGATGGACAGACGAATGCATTACTATCGCATAAGCTCTTCTGGTCTCTGACCAGTAGAGCTAAAAATAACACATAAATATATAATATTGCATTAACGACGTTGGCTCCTGATATTTAAAGTCTTAAACTTTTTCTGTCAAGTATATTTTTAGTTTCTACACATGTGGCTTAGTTAAAAATCAAATCCAAAAATGGGGGTCAATATGCTTCTTTTGGCGCTACAGTACATTTAAAATGACTTTTTGCACTGAAATGTGTGTCCTAAATCTTCGACATTTTCTCTCCAATATTTTTATCCAAATAAAGAATGAAACAAAATAAACTATAAGTCTATTTAAAAAAAGACACTTTAAAATCGTGACTACGAAAAAGTTTAAAATTGTTTCGCATAATCAATTATTTGACCTTTCTGCACTCACAAAATGTGATTTTTCTGGCATTGAAAATTTAACAAGCAAGAAAATTATTTAAAGTCTTAAACTTTTGCTGAATTTATGCAGATTGATCAAAGTTATCTTATATTCAGAAAAGAACACCTAAATCCGGGTTATATGGTGTAAATTTTTAAACATTACCAGGGTTCGAAATTAACTCATGTCCATAAGTCCAAGACTAGTAAAAATTGTGTCGGACTAGCAAACTTTGTAAGGTACTAGTCCGCACGGACCAGTGCAAATCCGGATATAAGTCTTGAATCTGTTCACATTTTATTAAGTTTATTTCCGAGTCTCTTAGACGTTTGAAAATAAACGAGAAACGCAACCGGGATAAAGCGTTTTCTACATTGTGATCAATAAACAAAGACGTGACCATGAGGAGATTTCTAAAAGTTGAAAACCCTCTTTCTTTCACCACATGCTTCCAGCTGATGTGTGGACACATATTTCATTGAATTAATCGATAAAAATTTTATGATTTGTGTTCTTCTTTTTACATACTATAGGGCGGACTAGTGGAATAGTTCGTGGACTAGTGGAAGCTAGAAGTCACTAGTCCGTGCGGACTAGTGCTAAAAAAAGTTAATTTCGAACCCTGATTACTAAAAATCTGTCAATTTTATGTTAAAATTGGCTCAATTTTCTCCTGGACTTTTAGAATATATTTAACTATATTTGTCACAATTTGTAGAAAGAATTCATTAGAAATAATTTAATAGATATTTCAGAACCAGTATAACACATTTCACTGCAAAAAAACAGCTTTGTGTGCAACCAGCATGGAAAATAGGAATCTAAAAGCAGCAGTACTGTATACAGTTCAAAAGGGAAAAATTGATCATTTTCTTTTAAAAAAAAAAACCTTCCGCCACAAAATATAGTTCCTAGCTTAATCTTACTTGAATGGAAATTAATCACAGTTTTTTCATTGAATATACTTCAATTTGCCCTGTAGAATTCAGATTTAATGTTAAAACTTAAAAATGGTACATAATTTTATAAATAAAGGTCCAAGCCAAAATCTACTCAAAAACACAGGATCGAACGTCCTTATATTATAAAATGCGAGTGTATTTATGCAATACGTCAACAGACCTTTGTTAATTACACAAAAAACACATGCAGAATCGCCCTGGCATGGATATATATATGTATGGTTGTTACAACCATGGTAATTAATTCATTCTATAAGTAGTAGTTTTCTCTTCTAAAGTCCACATTGTTTTATTTGTTAAAAGAATATGCATGTTTATTTACAAGTAGAATAATTTTATCTTTTATACTACACGCGGTAACAGCTACACATGCTTTACAGCAATAAAAACGTGTTATCAAAGTATTGATTTAAAACATATTTATATGTATGTACAGAAAAAATTGTTTTAGTTATTTATTTATCTATCTAAAGTATTTATTGTTTATTTTATATTTTAGCACCTGGTCATTCCTTAGCTGATATTGCAGCATCTGAAACCTTGATTGATACAATGAAACACATTTCAAAAGATGCATATTTGATTAATGTAGGGCATATAAGTACTTAAAGAGAAAACTGCACCAAAAACCTTACCCTGGGATGCCGACACCGACACCGAGCATATCAAATAAGCTTCCCCCAACTTCGTTGAAGTGAGCTAAAAATTGCATTTGCTGTGGTGGCTTTATCCAAACACCTCATGTCCCTTGATTAGGAAGGGGGCATGAAATTCACGTCCCATAGATGCCATATGCCAAAATTGGCTGCAATTGATTAAGAGTTTCAAGAAATGAATCTGAAAAATTCTAATGTTAATGTACAACAACACATGGTGATGGGAGAAAACAGATAGCAAAGGGGGGTCACCTGGGTGATTCAGTACATGTACCTCACCTTCTCAAAATGAATGAAATATTCTATAAGTGCATATAGTGCTGTTTAACCTTAAAGACTTTGATTTGACAAGAGCCACAGTGAACCAGCTTGCTTTCATTTTCCCCATGGGTGTAGGTGTCGATCTGTAGACGGAAAGGTACACCTTTTTCTCCACCATGTTTCTTGGCTGTAAACTCTGTACTGATACAGTTTACCCTGATGTAGACACCTGATTCCTTGGTTGGATCCCAAACAAATTCAGCTCCATTAAGACGTTCTCTGTCAATGTTGACATCAATCAATCCATATGACAATGGAACATCTATTTAATAAATTAAAAAAATATTCAATGAAAAAAGTGCACTGTATCAATATATCATATCAAAATGCATTGATGTTAAAGAAATGAAGCTTATTTAATCCTATGTTATAACATAAAGCGGGTTTCTTTAGCAGTTGAAAAATTTTGCATTTTGCTTGCTCTAAAAGTACAGTACAGGCAATGCAGATCCCGTATTAGAGCGTGTTCCCTCTGCGGTGTATTAATCCTTTCCCAGTTACACCGTCACGGGTTTTGATCGCGGTGCTACCTGAGACCATGTTTACACCGTGGCAGGGCCAGATATCGTTATTCTGTACCTTGAGTTTTGTTACCTGTAAACGGTTGTTGATTATTACTTCGAGTGGATGGTATTGAAAATAAATATGTATATGGTCAGAATTATATTTTTAATATGTGCCTTTTATTTTGCACATATATGAATGTTGTACTACTAATACATAATTATGTGACTGATGTCATGAGTAAAGGGCCCTTAGGGAATAATAAATAAATTGCTAGATGCTCATCCGAATTTTTTTAAAAATCGAGGTGGGCGGCTTTTATTTTATATTTTTTATTTTTTCAATTTTGCAGATTTTTTATTGACCTGGTCAATCGGTGTAATTTTATCTAAAATACCCGAAAAGTTGGTTTACAGTATATATAAAGCACTTGTTACACTTAAAAACATTAAAAGAGAGAGAGAGAGAATCCCAGAAGGACACCGCCGCCTGCAAAACGGGACATCCCCTAGCAAAAAAGCACTTCGATCCCGATATTAAAAAGAAAATAATTTTCTTATCAGTCATCAAAATTCATCATTCACTTACCATCACACACACATGTAACTTTTTTCCCTATAACTGTTACGACAGGATGAAAACACCATACATCTTCTGTATCACCAAAAAATGAGAAATAAATGCAGATACGCCAAGATATGTAAGCTTGTTTTTAAAAATGTTTATACCGGTTATAAAAAATTATGAATGCATGAATTGAATTCATGTTCGCTACTTCCATGCAAGCGGATTTTTTAAAAGTTTATTTTTTTGAATATTTTATTAAAAAAATGTTTAAAGCACTAAGCTTCAATTGTTTATACAAATCCTTTTCTTCGCCTGTCTTAATTATGGAGTAACAATATAATAAAGAGGCAAAGGATTGTCTTATGAATGGTTTATATACTGTACCTTAAATTGAAACTTTGAACTTATACCTAAAATTGAAACCGTCTTTTAACTTCTTATTTTTTTAAGTAAATAACAATTAAAATCGGTCACAAATATTTCTGCACATTCACCTTTTTTTTTTTTTATTTTGAGACACCCTTACCCTGTTTCACTTGAACATAACATTTGTATATATTTTTTTACAAGGACAGCTACTATGATCTAAAAAAATGATTTGAGTATATTGTATAATTTAAACATAGGTAATCAGAGATTACAGAGCTCACCTCAAAGAATGTTGTCTTTAAGTAAGGCAAGTCATACAATTACCCAACAATAAGTGTACATCCAAAAATGCAAAACTTATGCAATTTTGATCTGATACTTTGGAATAGACCTATATAAAAACTTCAAACTAGTTCTTCATCACAAAAATGTTATCAAAATCCAGAATCTGAAGCAAGTTTAAGAGTTTTCATCCCTTGATGCATCATATGGGCAAGTTTGGTTTATTTAAGCCTTATACCTTAGACCTGCACCCATAACTTTTACCTGGTCCATTATCTGGAAAATGTATGTCGAATTCAGCATCCAGAGCAAGTCCATTAGTATGCATCGATGTATCATCCAAGCGAGTTTGCACAACATAGGGCTAATAGTTACTTAGAAATGAAACCTGTATAAAAATTTAACCTCTTCACTCATCCAGAAAAAAATGTAGGTCAGATTCAGCATCTGCAGCCAGCCTGGTAGAATGCAACCTTAGATGTATCATCCATGCAAGTTTGGTCATTAAAGAGCTCATAGTTACTTGGAAATGAATCCTGCATCAAAAACTTTAACCTGTTCACTCATCCAGAAAATGTAGGTCAGATTCAGCATCCAAAACAAGTCTGGTAGTATGCATCCTAAGATGTATCATCCATCCCTTACAGAAAAAACTAATAGAAACTTACAAGTTTTTATAATGCACTTATTAGCAATTTATAAGTCACTTATAAATTTTGAAATTTACTTACAAGTGTACTAAATACATGCCATCTTTCCCGATTTAGGCGGGATCCTCCAGATTTTACCCTTTCATCCCGTTCTCCCGATCGGGAGAGAAAAATTGCCCTAATTTCCCGATTTGAAAAAAAAAAACACCAAAATTTTCGATTTTAAAAATTTCCCTACCTCTGAATTTTGACAATCGGGATAACAATGTCCGACTTGTTTATTCAATGCACACAGATAACATTCATTGTTCATTTAACCAGGTGTTAATTTAATAGCCACAGGAAATCACTTCACGCTTGAACGCATGCAGTTGTCCAGGTACAAATAGCTTATAGCTTGGGGCAATTAGGGCTCATTGTAAATTGGAAATGAAACCTGTAAAATAACTTTAACCTGTTCACTAATCCAGACTCAGCATCCGAAGCAAGCCTGGTAATGTGCATCCTTAGATGTATCATCCGTGCAAGTTTGGTTAACATAGGGCTTATAGTTACTTGGAGATGAAATCTGCACTTAAAACATTAACCTGTTCACTCAACCGGAAAATGTAGGTCAGATTCAGCATCCAAAGCAAGTCTGGTAGGATGCATCCTAAGATGTATCATCCATGCAAGTTTAGTCTTTATAGGGCTCATTGTAACTTGGAAATGAAACCTGCCCCCAAAACTTAAACCTGTTCACTCAATCAGAAAATGTAGGTCAGATTCAGCATCCAGGGCAAGTCTAGTAGGATGCATCCTAAGATGTACCATCTATGCAAGTTTGGTCATTATAGGGCTCATTGTATCTTGGAAATGAACCCTGCACCAAAAACTTTAACCTATTCACTGAACTGGAGAATGTAGCTCAGATTCAGCATCCGAAGCAAGCCTGGTAATGTGCATCCTTAGATGTATCATCCGTGCAAGTTTGGTCAACATAGGGCTTATAGTTACTTGGAAATGAGACTTGCACCAAAAACATTAACCTGTTCACTCAACTGGAAAATGTAGGTCAGATTCAGCATCTGAAGCAAGTCTGGTAGTGTACATCCTTAGAAGTACCATCCATGTAAGTTTGGTCAACATAGGGCTTATAGTTCCTTGGAAATGAGACCTACACCAAAAACTGCACCAAAAATGTTAACCTGCTCCAAAAACATTAACCTGGTCATTCCTTTGCTGAAATTGCAGCATCTGAAACTTTGACTGGTACAATGAAACACATTAGAAGCATCTTCCATATATGTCTAATCAATATAGGACATAAAAGTACTTTAAAAGAAAACTGCTCTAAAAAACTTAACCCGGGACACCGACACCGACACTGACGCCGAGGGTACTACATAAGCTCCCCCAACTTTGTTGAGGTAAGCTAATAAGAAATGGTTAATTGCACTGTTCTTGTTTCTTTTTTATATATGCACACTAAACAGTGCTTGAATTTTCTGATCGAAATTATGGTTCCATTACAATTTTGAAGAAATCTATATGAAACTGAAACTGAATGAATATATTTTTACTCAATAAAGGAAGGCCCGTAGGAAGCCATTTCAGTTGTGTGTGTTTGTGTGTGTGGGGGGGGGGGGGGGGTGTTACAGCTATATTTTTTTCAGTTGTGGGCACTTTCAACTACCAACTACCAAGCAAAAAAAAGTTTTTACGGCCAGGGAAGGTCATCCATTCATCTTCCTCCATGACATTGGCTAATCTGACACCTAATAAAAGCTTTTCACATTTCGATGCATTTGTCTTAACCAATAATGAAATATTACGTCCAACACACATTTATGTTTTTTGTATGAGGCGATGCGGTAAAGTAATAATCTACCGCTCTAATCTATTTTTTCTTAGTTATTAGTTCAAAACATACTACTTTCTCGATATATTAAAATTTTAAAAATATATATGACTCGATTTTGCCTGTCCCCCTACAACTCAGTGACATAGTCGTTTGAAAAGAGGGTGGGGGACAGCCAGAATAAAAATTCAATTTACCATTTAAAAAACTTTTCAACCAAAAAGTTGCTTTTTGTCCTATTGTGCACTAATTTGACTATGCTGCAACAAACAAGAGGCCCATGGGCCTTATAGGTCACCTGAGCATCATGCAACAACTTTACAACGATCAACTCTGGTTCATGTTTTAAACTAGACGTCATGGCATTCACAATTTTGAAAGACGCACCATTGCTAATCATAACTAAACACTTAGCATATTTAGTTCGGTTACTTAATCCCATAGACAGAGTAGGGGAACAAAAAATGCATTTCGACTAATCAGTAATATTCAGCAAAAATCAGAATAGTGCCACTACCACACATGAACCCCTGACCCTTGGTCCACACATTTCACAATTTTGGAAAAGGCACCCTTGCTTACCAAAAATATTTGATTGATACAAAGGAGAAGATTTCAATCAATTAATTCATTTTCAGTATATAAGTAGAGCCCCCCCCGTATGGTACCCCTGATCCAGGGGCGTTGAAATTCACAATTCAGTAAGAATGGCCCTGCTCATCAAAGCTATATAGGTAGTTCATCTGCTTAATACCCAGGAGCAGAGAAGAAGATTTTCAAACAATTTCTGCATTTTCTCTATATAACCAATAGAGCCCTGCCCTAACAACAGAACCCCTGACCCTAAGGGTCATAAACTTCACAAAGGTTTTCTTCCACACCATAACTATGTACTTAATTAGTTTATTTCATACCCAGGAACAGAGAAGAAGATTTTTAATGAAATAATGTATTTTCATTATATAATTAATAGAGCCCTGCCCTAACACCAGAACCCCTGACCCTGGGGCCATGAAATTCAAAATTTTGGAAGAAACATTCTTGCTCATC